CTTTATTCTAGCGGCAGTTGGTACGTTTTTCATCGATATTTTTCGATTCTGATTCATTTCTCGCTTGAACCGTCTCAATTTGAAAATCATATTCTGCTCATTCTCGATGTGAACTTTGCGAAAAGTTTTCACGAAATCATCTTTAATTGGATGCTTTAAACATGCTATTTAAGCGCTGCTCCCAAGCGCTCGAGTTGACGCTGAAGATGATATCGAAGAGCCAACGGTGAAAGAAAATTTGGCAAAGGCCAAAGACGCATCAAAAACTGACGATGAAGTTGTGCAGAGGTAACGTTTTTGTTGTTGATTCGTTACTCTTATTTTGGAATGACGATTATTGTTTCATTTTTATCCTTTACTCTCTTTACAATAGCATTTGCAATACACGCCATTCATTAAGCAGTGCCGTTACACAATATATATTTTATTTTGATGAAATTATTCCCATTTGGATATCTGAATGCACAAAAAGTAATAATCTACATATTTCGATGATATTTTCAAATGAAATCACTGGAAGTCGAGCAACTTATTTCTGTTGTTACACACTGAATAGACCAGATTAAATGATTTCAGTTAAATTAATCTAAGCCTTTGTCCGCGTACATAGAATTGCTTTGAATTTTCACAAATTGGAAAGTCTTATGCACTAAGTGGTAATCAATAAAAGTGACTGATTATTTGATGGTATGAGTAAGGGTGATATTAAGAGAGACTACCAAAGGTATGTATAATTGATGAAACATTATTTACATTTGACTATCTCGATATACCTGTATCTCTGCATCGTCTCCGAACGTTTCGTATATCTCTTATGAACACTTCCATGTCACTGAGTACTTTCTTATAGGCACATCAAGGTCACCGGATGCGTTAGTACCTAGTACGCTATGTTTATTTGTTATATTCTCAAATAAGTACTCACAATGAACTGTTTTTGTGACTTAGAAAAATAGTCAGAGTACGGTCATCGGCTAAACCAAAGCAAATATTCATCAAATTAAAAAATTTTTGAATCATTAATCGAACCACCTATACAACTGACGAAGTGTAGTTGTCGCGTGAGAGATAACTTCAAGCGATGATAGTTCTATAATCATTGATCCCGTAATTTTTATGTCATAGTGAACTTTTTTTGTTTTTGATAATGGCCACTGAAATGTTCACTCAGAGTTTAGTGATTGATTGAAATTGAGAACGGATTAAATGAGTTGTGTGAACAAAACGAGTTTAATGAGATGATGCGATTGAACGCATCGATTGAACTGAAAATATGTATGCAAATGAACTTGCGCTCATTGAACACACACACACACACATACGTGTTGTTATGAAAATCTGAATTTGCTTATCAATGAGTTTGTTTGCTTAATCAACACACATCCAATTACATATATATGAGCAGAAGAATGTGTCGCATCGAAATGAACGAATGAATACGCAAACTACATCCTCCATC